AGGGAGGCTTTTAAAGTCAGTAGGAATAGCAATTTTCATGCAACCACAGGAACAGCAGTTTCAAGGGGAGATGCTCTGGCCAGCTGCCTGGGGCAAGCCACCTAACAGTCATTTTATTTACCAGTTAATAGGTTGACAATCTGCTGTCCTCCCTGAAGCACAGGAGAGGAAAAAGCAAAGTTCCTTTAGTACTGTTAGTGCTATTAAGTATTGATGCATTCATTCATTGTTGAATGATGAAGACAGAGAAGGAGGAAAACCAAATTTCAGCCATTTCTGACCTCTTAATTTATCATGCAGTTGTACAATAGCAATAGAAATGGCCATTTGACTGTTTTGTGGGGAGGGAATAATTTTTTTATATTAAATTGTTGTCTCCAACTAGATTGTAAAGTTCTTGATACTGGAGACATTTGTGCCTTTCATGTTTTTGTTTCCATCCTTGACTAGCATGTTACATCAGTGATTCTCAGCTGTCTCAGATCCTGCTTACTGTTTATGATCCAGAAATGCTATTTGTAGATAATGTAATTTCCTACACATGTAATTTTAAAGAATTATTAAAGTGCCTTACCTGTAAAGGAGAATTTAAAAGGTAGTAATTTACAACAAAATAATATTTTGATGTGTAAATGCTCTGTGAGTACATAGAAAACAATGGCATATTGATTAGTATGTGCAAAGGCCCTGGAAAAGAGAATTTATCTTTTTGGGAAAAGAGAAAGAAGGCCAGTGTGACTGAAGCCCGAGGTGGAGAATGGTTGAGATGTTGGAGAGTTGAGGGGGGGCCCCCCATGCAGAGAGAACATCTGGCAAAGCCAGGGAGGGACTTGGATTTTATGTTCAGAAGATCACTATTGTTGCTTGAAGCAGAGGACAGTGTGTTGGGAATCCAGCAGAGAGAGTGACTAACTTTTCATGACAGAGAATGGAAGTGTTCAAAGCAGGACTTTTAAATTGCATCTTAAAGGACAGATTTGAATGGGGATGTGAGAGCTGTAGAAATGGAATATATGATAACAGTTCTCATATCAGAACCTGTATCCCCTTCACAGTCCTGAGAAATAATTTGTGGATGATATAATTACCTTCACGTCCAGTCTTTAAAATGCCCTAACTGTAAATTTAGAAGAACCTAAACAAATATGTGTAGATATTCACTCCTGACTAAAAGCCATGAACTAATCAGATGCTTGTGCCTACCAGTGAGAAAAAAGTTCAGTGTAAAAGAATTAAAATTCCATTGAATCTTTCCAACATTTTGTATTTAACATTAAAATCATAGCTAAATGGGTATATTTGTATATTTACAGGCTATAGGCAAATCATTCACA